CTTAGGTATCTTATGTTTTTAGTTGCAATGGTAAATGGAATTGTTTTTTCAGTTTATCTTTCTGAGAGTTCCTTATTGGTGTATAAAAATGCCATCAATTTCCCGATGTTGCTTTTGTATCCAGCTACCTTGCTGAATTCATTTATCAAATCTAGTAGTAGTTTGGTGGAGTCTTTAGGGTTTCCTATGTACAATATCATGTCATCTGCAAATAATGACAGTTTTACTTCCTCCTCTTCAATTTGGATACCTTTTATGTTTTCTTTCTGTATGATGGCTGTGGCAAGGACTTCAGTACTATGTTGAATAAGGGTGGTGAAAGCGAACATCTCTGTCTTATTCCTGTTTTTAAGGGAAATGGTTTTAGTTTTTGACCATTGAGTATGATGTTTACTGTAGGTTTGTCATATATGGCCTTTATTATGTTGAGGTATGTTCCTTCTATTCCCACTTTGCTGAGAGATTTAGTAAAAAATGGGAGCTGGATTTTGTCTAATGTTTTGACTGCACCTATTGATATGATCATATGATTTTTGTCCTTCATTTTGTTTATGTGATGTATCACATTTATTGATCTATGGATATTATACCAGCATTGCATCACTGGAATAAATTCCACTTGGTAATGGTGTATGGTCTTTTAGATGTATTGCTGGATCTCGTTTGCTAGTATTTTGTTGAGAATTTTAGCATCTATGTTCATCAGCATATTGGTCTGTAATTTTCTTTCTTTGTAGTGTCTTTATCTGGATTTGNTTAGTATTTTGTTGAGAATTTTAGCATCTATGTTCATCAGGCATATTGGTCTGTAATTTTCTTTCTTTGTAGTGTCTTTATCTGGATTTGGGATTAGGATGATGCTGGTCTCATATAAAGAGTTTGGGAGTTTTCCCTTCTCTTGAATTTTCTGGAATAGTTTGAGGAGAACAGGTATTAATTCTTCCTTGAATGTTTGGTAAAACTTGCCTGTAAGTCCATCTGGTCTTGGACTTTTGTTTGCTGGGAGTTTTTTGATTACTGCTTCAATTTCATTAGTTGTTAACAGCCTATTCAGGTTTTCTGATTTGTTCCAAACAAGAGGAACCCAAAGAGACCCACTCCAAGGCACATCATAATTTAAATGGCAAATGTTAAGGACAAAGAGAGGATATTAAGGGCTGTAAGAGAGAGACAAACAGTGACCTACAAGGGAACTCCCATAAGGTTGACAGCAGATTTCTCAACAGAAACACTTCAGGCCTGAAAGGAGTGGCATGAAGTTCTCAAAGTAATGAAAAGCAAGAACATGCAACCAAGATTGCTTTATCCAGCAAGGCTATAATTTAAAATTGACTGTGAAATAAAGAGCTTCACAGACAAAAGAAAGCTAAAGGAGTTCAGTACCACCAAACCAGCATTGCAAGAAATGCTAAAAAGACTGCTTTAAGAAGAAGAAATATTGAGAGCAAGGTACATCAGCATAAAGGGGAAAACGGCATTAAATAAATATATATCAATAGTAACCTTAAATGTAAATGGAATAAATGGTCCAATCAACAGACATAGGGTAGCTGAATGGATAAGAAAACAGGACCGATCTATATGCTATCTACAAGAGACACACCTGAGTGCCAAAGACTCATACAGGCTGAAAGTGAAGGGACGGAAAAAAATATTCTATGCAAATGGAAATGGAAAAAAAACAGCTGAAGTTCCAATACTTATTTCTGACAAAGTAAACTTCAAAATAAAGACCATAACAAGAGGCAAAGAAGGTCACTACATAATACTAAAGACATCAATTCAACAGGAGGAAATACCCCTTATAAATATATATCCATTCAGTATAGAAGCACCTAAATATATAAAAAATTTCTTGGTGGGCTTTAATGGGGAGATTGACAGCAACACAATCATTGTGGGGGATTTTTACACCTCACTCTCATCATTGCATAGATCATCAAGACAAAAAATCAACAGGGAAACACAGACCTTAAATGACACACTAGATCTAATGGATTTAATTGACGTTTACAGAACATTTCACCCCAAAGCAGCAGAATACACATTCTTCTCAAGTGCACATGGAACATTCTCAAAAATAGACCACATGTTAAGGCACAAGGCAAGTCTCTACATATACAAGAAGGTTGAAATCATATCAAGCATCTTCTTGGATCATAATGGCATGAAACTAGAAATCAACCACTATAAAAAAACTCAAAAATATTCAAACACATGGAGGCTAAATAGCATGTTATTAAACAATGAATGGGTTACCAATGAGATCATGGAAAAAATAAAAAATTTCCTGGAAAAAAAACAAAAATGAACAGACAGCAACCCAAAATATATGGGACACAGAGAAAGCAGTCCTGAGAGGAAAGTTTATAGCAGTACATGCATACCTCAAGAAACAAGAAAAAGCTCTACTAAACCATCTAACACAACTAAAAGAATTAGGAAGAGAACAGCAAGAAAAGCTCCGAGGAAGTAGAAGGAAGGAAGTAATAAAGATCAGAGCAGAAATTAATGACATAGAGACAAAAAAATAAAAAATACAAAAAGTCAATGAAACCAAGAGCTGGTTCTTTGGGAAGATAAATAAGATTGATGCACCTTTAGCCAGACTCACCAAGAAACCAAGGGAGAGGGCCCAAATAAATAAAATCAGAAATGAAAATGGGTATATAACAACTGATACAAGAGAAATACAAAGGATTGTAAGAAAATACTATGAGCAACTATATGCCAACAAACTGGACAACCTGGGTGAAATGGATGAATTCCTAGAAGCATACAATCTTCCAATGCTGAATCAAGAAGAATCTCTGACTTCTAAGTTGCATGAGTTGGTTCACCTTCTCCTTGCCTCCTCCTGTCCTTCTTCCAGGATCTGGGAATCCATGGAGATATTCCTGAAAGCAGCCTGGGTTCTAGCGCACTCTCTGTGTTGATCACTGGGCACTCTTAATCTTTTGACCAACAGGACAAACTGAGGATTCAGTTCAGAGAATACTTTTCATGTGGCTTCCTGCCAACTGCACTGCCTTCATCCCCATGCAGTCCCCTGTTCTTAAATCTTTAGGGGTGTAAAATGTAGATGAGTCATCATGTTTATTCTTCATAACTCCAGAGGATCACTGAGTATAAACAACTGGAAAGGGGCTTTCACTTCTGGAAATGAGGTAGTCTTAGTTTTCCAGGGACCATTTCTCATGATTAGCTCTTTAGGGTCAGTTCCTATTTGTACTACTTCACTAGCACACACAAGCAATATTTAGCCTTCCCTAGATTTTTTCTTATAGAGGTAGTTGCAAAATAGGAGGCAAAAAAAGAATTTTGACAGAGGGAGATAATTCTGGAAATTTACAGAACAGAGAAATGTTATCATATTTTGGAAAACACTGTAGTGGATTTTGGGAGAAAAATGATAGAGTATAGAATCTGAGCCAGCAATGGCCAGGGAAACAGGAATCCATGCCATGAGAGTTGGCTATTACTTTAAAGGAAATTCCAATAAAGATATGAGTCAGTCATTGTATTTAGAATATGCCACCTCTTTTGATATCAGAAATAAAAACACCCGTAGAATAAATTTACATATAGTTACATTTTCTGAATGTGCAGCCTGATGTTTTTTGAGAATTTTTAATCTTTCTCTTAATTCTTTGCTGTATATAATCCACTTAGCATCAGGAAGAGATTTCTTAAAGGATGTCAGATTTCTCATTGCAAATCAACCCAATCTGTGGGTCAAACTGTTTTCCAACTCATGGAAATTTTCACCATCTGCTCTTTTATCATGAGTTTCAGTCATCTTTATTGAAGGAAGTTTCCATATATACATTTTTTTAATCCTCACCTGAGGATATTTTCCATTGCTTTTCAAAAAGAGTGGAAAGGAGAGAGAGAGAGAGAAACATCAATTGGTTGCCTCCCACACTTGCCTGGACCAGGGCTGGGGATGGAGCCTGCAACAGAGGTAGGTGCCCTTGCCCAGAATCAAACCCCAGACCCTTCAGTCCTCTGGCCAATGCTCTAACCACTGAGCAAAACCAGCTAGAGCAGTTTCCACATTTTGACTGTTGGTACTGTCAGTTCTCTGGGAATAGCAAGGGCCTGGGCAAGACCAGCTTAGGGAAGCTGAGTCTGAGATAATAGCTATTTGAAATCTTCGATGATCTTCTCTCTCTTATTCTGATCTTTGACTTATGTTTCTTTTAGAAAAAGTTTTGCTCCATAACAGAAAAATGAGGATGGTAGTGTTAGCTGGAAAGCAAGGTTTTATATTTTTTTGTTTAAGAGAGCTAATCACAGCCCTTGTCTGATTTCAAACATGTAAACCCAGGCTATTGTTGAATAAATACCAACGGCATTTACCTTTTTCCAACTTACTAATGACTCAGTAATGTGCAGAGATATAAATCTTGATCTCTACATTCTTATTGTGCACGCAGTCTTTGCTCTAAGACCTAATTTGTTTGACCTACTGCTGCCTTCACATGTCTGAGCCCCTCAGAGGCACAGGGTAAGAGGAAAACATTTAACCAGCGAGTTCTGTAGTTAGAGATGTGACCACAAGATGGCAGTGCACCTCCGCTGATCCTGAACATGTGGAGGGTTCATTTTAGTGGATTCTGAAGGAATACCCTCGGGCAGAAGCAGAGCCTTTTTCTTATTGGCTGGGTAGACAATGTGAGAAACCATTATGATTGTTAGAGAAAAGAAGGGACAGTCTGATAACAGAAGTAGTTCTGTTGGCTGGAGATTGCAAGTCTACAATTGGTCTTAATTAGGAGGAACAATGAAGTCATCCACTGGAGCTTTATTTATGTTCTTGTGTCTGCAGCTGACCTGTGAGTTGAGGGATTTGGGGAGAGTATATTAGTAAATATTTCTCTGAAGCCAAGGAAGAGACTAACTTTATTCAGGTTTCCTCTAGTTACTATAGAAAAGAAAAAGTAAATTCTGGACTGTAATAATCTGGCGACTTTTTCCTTTCTCTGACTCTTTCTTTCTGCACAGGGGTCAGCCGAGGAGAGAAAGTGGAGCAGAGTCCTTCTACCCTGAGTGTCCAGGAGGGAAACCCCGCTGTTATCACCTGTTCTTATTCAGACAGTGCCTCAAACTACTTTCCTTGGTACAAGACAGAACCTGNGCTTCTTCCCCTGGTATAAGCAAGAACCTGGAAAAGGCCCCCAGCTCATTATAGACATTCTTTCAACTAAGAAGAAAAAAGAAGATGGAAGACTCACTGTTTCATTGAATAAAGAGGCCAAGCATCTCTCCCTGCACATCACGGCCACCCAGCCTGGAGACGCAGCTGTGTACTTTTGTGCAGCGAGTGCACATTGCTTCCCAGGCACCTGCAACCAGTACACAAACCTGCAAGCGGGCAACTCCCTCTGCTTGGGACAGACTTTCAAGCATAGGATTTGTTAAATTGTCCTCAATGGAAACTAATGTGTTTTATGTTAAAAACCCATAATAAGAAGGTTAGTTTCAAGATGACCCCGAACGGGTTAGAACATTTTGTTGGATGACTGTTGCTTAATGAGTTATCTTCTTCTCATTTTGGAATGTAAAGCTCTTTTAAATTAAAGTATATTTGACATAGAATATTATATTAATTTCAGATGTACAACATAGTGGTTTGAGATTTATATACCTTAAAAAGCGCTCACCACAAGAAATCTGGTAAGCATCTGTCACTGTGCAAAGTTATTGTAATACTATTGACAGTATTCCCTATTCCGTACATTACACCCCATGACTTATAAGTTTGTACCTCTTAATCTTTTGCACCTTTTTGCCCATCCAAGTTTTCCAACAGCATTTATTGAAGACTTTTCCACATTGTATATTCCCTTGCTTTCTTTGTCACAAATTTAATTGTTTATGTAAGCATGGGTTCATTTCTGGGCTCTCTTTTCTGTTCCACTGATCTTTGTCTTTACTTTTATTTTTATGCTAGTACCATACTGCTTTCATTACTATAGCTTCATAGTATAATTTTAAGTCAGAGAATGTGTGGCATCCAACTTTAATTTCATTTACTTCTGCTCTGGTCTTTATTATTTTCTTCCTTCTTTTTCTTCTGTTTTTGCTTTTTTTTCTAGTTCCTTTAGGTGTGAGATACTTTCCTCTCAGTACAAATGCTGCTTCCCATAGATTTTGTACATTGTTTTCATTTTAATTTGTTTCAAGATGTTTTTTTATCTCCTCTTTGATTTCTTCATTGACCCATTGGTTGTTCAGTAGCATGTTGTACACGCTCCATGTGTTTTTTTTCCAGTTTTCCCTCTTATAATTGGTTTCTAGTATACTATTGTGATTAAAGAAGGTGCTTGATACAATTCAATCTTCTTGAATTTATTTATTTATTTTTTAAAATATATCTTTATTGATTTCAGAGAAAGGAAAGGAAGGGAGGGAGAGAGAGAGAAACATCAATGATGAGAGAGTCATTGAACAGCTGCTTCCTGCACGCCCCCGACTGGGGATCGAGCCCGCAACCCGGGCATGTGCCCTGACCAGGAATCAAACCCCAATCGCCTTGATCCTAGGTCGATGCTCAGTCGCTGAGCCATGCCAGGACTTGAATTGATTGACTTGGGTGGTCTAACATGTGATTTATCCTGGAAAATGTGCATGTGCACTTAAAAAAAATGTGTTTTCTACTGTTTTTTGTTGGAATGTTCTGTATAGGTCTATTAAGTCCATCTCGTCTAGTGTGTTACATAAGCCAATGTTCCTTATTGATTTTGTCTGTATGATCTACCCATTGATGTCAGTGGGGTGTTTAATTATTGTGTTATCATTAACCTCTCCCTTTGTGTCTGCTAATATTTGCTGTATGTATTTAGGTGAGCTTATCATGGGTGCTTAGATGTTTACAAGTTTTATATCCTTTTGTTGGATTGATCTCTTTATCATTATGTCATAACCTTGTGTCTTGTTAGAGTCTTTGTTTGAAGGTCTATTTTGTTTAAGTATTGCCACCCCAGCTTTCTTTGCATTTCCATTTGCATGGAATATCTTTTTCTGTCTCGTTACTTTCATTCTCTGTTTATCTTTAGATCTGAAGTGAGCCACTTGTAGGCAGCAAACGTGTGGGTCTTGTGTTTTAATCCACTTGTCAGCAGGACTGCACTTGCTCCAGAGGCTCTAAGGGAGAATTTGTTCCTTGACTCTTCCAGCTGTGGTGGTGTCAGCATTTCTTGGCTTGAGAACATATCACTCCAGTCTTCTCCTCCATGGTCTCATTGGCTTCTCTCTTCCTGTCATCAAATCTCCTCCCGCTCTCTCTTAAAAGTACACATGTGATTCTATTTAGGCTCATATAATCCAAAATTACCTTTCCATCTCAGGATCCTTAATTATATCTTCAAAGATTTTAGTTGTTGTTTTCTTGTGTGTGTGTTTGCATATGTGTTTCCCACATAAGGCAACATTCACATATTCCAGGGATTAGGACCTGATTTTTTTAAAGCCATATTTTTTCTATCACAGTTGACATAGCTGGTGCATTTCTTTTCCATGTTGAGGAAATAATGTACATATTAGCCAGAGGCCAGTGATGAAAATAAAAACCACATCAACTTATTTTATTTTCTCAGTGTTTAAAATTTTTATTTTAAAAAGTCATGTAAAAATTGAATATTTTTCTGTATAGTTATATCTATAATTCTGAATTTAAATATATAGTATAGCTCCTGTAACTATCACACACTCATGACTCAGAAGAGTTTAATTGCTCCCCAAAACTCCCTTGTGCTATCATTTTATAATTACACACTCCCCTATCCCTACCTCTTTACAAATCTTGATTTTTTCTTTCATATTTTTGTCTTTTTAAAGAATGTCATATAAATGGAACCACACAATGCATAGTCTTTTGAGAATTCTGCATCTTAGTGAGAGGAAGCACCAGCCATCCACCACGTGCTTGATTTCCACTCTCAGTTTTTTCTACACCTGATGTTTTAAACTTTTAAATCATTTTATAATAATAGTGCATCATTTTAAGTTCTTGGATTCCACTGGAGACTTGATTCATAACTCTAAAAAAGAAAAACCACCAAACACTATGTAAACTGATAGTGGAGAGGTCAGTGGAGTATTGGAACAACTCATATGATTAGGTTGATACATGCTCTTTATATAAGTTTAATTGTACCAACTCTTTTCTAATTTTTTTATATTTTAAGATAAATTTTATTGATTACAGTTCTCTTTAGCCATACTAATTGAAGTGGTTATTTGGCTTTTCCAGGAGTTGACATTACATAATATATCTCAAAATTTAAAAATTGTGTTGTACTAGTAATGGGTTTAAAGAACTGAATTATAGCTTTAGGGTGGGCATTGCTTTAAGTAAAGCCAATATCTTAGCAAGTTATTTTATGAGTAAGAGAAGGAAGTAGGGTAAATCGGAAATATATAACATTCTACTATTAAAGTGGAAAAATGACACTAAAAACAAAAATCATGAAAAACAAAACAATAAAGAAGAGATCATGACAATCAGTGGTTCCAAATATCAAGGAGAATTCTCTTCTAACAGTCTTGAATGGAGGCGCCTACTTTTTGCAATTATATGTTTGTTTTAAGAATCTTGGGTTGACACATCATTTGTGGACTGTCTGCTTCCAATGACTCTCTGGAGAACCTCAGTTTAAGATCTCTAATGAGAATAACTTTTTCATTGTTTTCAGTTAAGGATCTATGATATAATACTAGTTGCTAAACATGTAGCCAAGGATCAATTTCCTGTACTTAATCTGCTATAATGGTAATAAATAGTTTTATTTATAAGGTAATTTCCACAAGCTCAATGGCAGTCTTTCTGAGATTTTTTTTGAGCACTTGGTCACCCAGGTTAAGGTCATGTAAAGGCTGAATATATGAAAGTTAAGAACTTAACTTTGCCTGTGATAAGAAGACTGAGTATCATGGGTTTATTTATCTAGTTTAGTTCTTGAAAGATTGGAATATATGGTTTGGGACATACAGAGTTACATGGAGCAATCAGTCACCAGTTCATAGTGAAACAACATATGACTTTGTGAGGGGAAGTATGCAGGGCCATGAGAGCTAAGGCTAACAATGCATGAGGCCATAGTTGCTCAAGATTATCTGCTATAATAATTCATTTCAGTTTTAATATTTCATTTATTCTTTTCATTTTTTCAGAGAATAGAAGGGTGAGAAGAACAGTGAAGTTTTTGAGTGAGAGCAAGACTTTACATAACTGTCCCTGAGAAATTTGCTCCTCTACATAGGATATATTGAACTGGCACAGGTAGTAAACACAAAATTAGGTTGATTTTTCATTCTCATGAGTGTGTGCTTTTTTCACAGGAGAGTACTTGTAGAAAATAAAAGTGCATTCTTAGTACATATCATGACCCATGGAGGGAATGCAATTGTGTAAGATCCTTTTGGAGATAGTCAAATGTTTCTATGGGACAGCATTCCAGTTCATATCCCATCTTTACTGTTTTTAAGGGATTTTATTGTTTCCAAGAAAAGCATGAACTGGCCCCATTTTCTGCCATCTTATAAAAGTTTCTCCACCAGTGTTTGTTTATTATTGCAGCCAATACATACTGTGATGTGTTGTCTCGGAAAGGTTTTAGCAAATGTACAATGAAGATTACTTGGCTTCATGAGGCAACTGTCCTGGCTTTGATATATCTTGTCCTGATGGATCAAACAAATCAAACATTCCTAGTAATTCTTTACAAAATTGGGGGCCAAAATTTCTGCATTTAAGATGGAATTATTGAACTTTTCCATGAATTTACCTTTATGTTCTCAAAGAGGTACTTGCATAAAGGCTTTAAATCAGAAAGGCATGTTTAGCATGATGGTCTGCCCAATAATTTTTCCTAGCATCTACAGTGTATTTTATCCTGTTAGACTTTGTCTTTATGACAAAAATTTATTTGACTATTATGAAGACATCAAATAATTCATGTATTTGGTATTTATTTTTAGTAGGGATACATGAAATACATGAGATGGTTAAGAAAATGTAGACAGTAAAGAAACCTCATTGTCTCCATAGTATTGGAAGTTGTGAACTATGTTAAAAACATATTGATTAATGCTGAATATAATTTCTTATAAATTTACATGCCCAAAAGAGATCCACAGTTCAGCTACTTGAGTTAATTTTTTCTTCTGCTAAGGGACTGGATTTTAGAAAAAAGTTTTGATAAGTGTTGCATAACCAGTCTGAAATTGACTCTTTCAGATGTAAAATTTGGTGTGAGAGTGTCCAAATGATCTGTTCTGCACATGGACACTTGTTAAATGACAGCAGTACAATCACGAAATATGTGTTGGAATTGAATAATATGAGGAGAAATGAATAATATTTATCAGCTAACTGACATAAATGTTGGGTGTTTTCAGAGAGTTACAGTGTATAACTTAGAGAGCAGGACAGTTTGTACAGTATGTGGTACCATCAGATTTAATGAAGATTTTGGTGCAAGATCTGAAGATGCTTAAACCAATTTAGTTGAGACTGCAGTTATTTTGAGACAAAGACGATAAGCTTTGGCTACTGTATCAAGAGACAGGCACTGATAGGCAAGGGACCTTTGTTGTTTGCACACACTTGGGAAAGTTTTATTACAATCAGTGATCCTATGATAACCTGTCCTATGAAAGTGTAAGGGGTCATCAAGAATATATTATCTTCAGAACTGGTTATACAGAATATAGAAACTTACTAAGGTTCTATTAGGGTGACAACTGAGGTAATGGAAAACTGTAAATTAAAAGACTTGATAACTACTTGGCCAGCGTGGTTCAGCGACTGAGCACCGGCCTATGATCCAATAGATCGTGGTTCGATTTCCAGACAGGGCACATGCCCTGGTTGTGGGCTTGGTCCCCAGTAGGGGGCGTGCAGGAGGCAGCCGGTCAATGACTCTCATCACTGATGTTTCTATCTCTCTCTCCCTCTTCCTTCTTCTCTCTGAAATCAATACAAATATATATTTTTTTTTAAAAAAAGGACTTGGTAGCCTAATAACCAAATTCTGGTGTCNCAAATATATTTTTTTTTTTAAAAAAAGGACTTGGTAGCCTAATAACCAAATTCTGGTGTCTATTCTGACCTTTACAAACAGAGTGAGCTGTCAAAACTAAATAGAGAAGAGAGGGGGATCTCTATGACAGAACTCCATGCTTAAGGGTTTCATTCTAAACTCTTCAGCAAAGAGTGCTTAGATTTTTCTGCATTTGGCCCCAGATAAGCAAAAGAACAGGTAATGACAGTGAGAAGGAATATTGCTATCACAGTAGGTAGCTAGGAAGAGCTACAGTAAGTAGTCCAGACAGCATTGCTTTCTGATCATAAATTGATGCATAGGTGTGAGGATACATGATTATTACGTCTTACGTTGTTTCCATAATGCATTACATACAGTATTTTACAATAAGTGCCAACACCCAGTTTCATCACAGATGCAATGAATAAACATAGCGGTTGGTCAAATCATTATCTTCCTTTTAATATAAAATGGTGCCACGTTTATCTTCAGATGTGATTGTTATCATTTAAAAGTTGATTAATGCAAAAGGAAGTTTGGGTTGATGACGCTCTCAGCCAGTACATAGAGAAGTCTGACGTGACCCACAGCAACTTGCTGCACCAGGAAGCCCTGTTTCCTCTTCTGGGGCAGCAGCAGCAGCACATAGCCCAGCATTTCTTCTCTCCCCCTGTCAGAGTCACCTCATCTTGCAGAGCCCTGAAACTGAGGAAAAACAAGAAGATATTTCTCACCTAGTAGAAGATCTTGAACATGTTGCTCTCCAGCTTTCTGAAGGTGGTCCTGGCTTCAATGTGGTTAGGTAGGGATGGCCCAGTGGGGATGGTTCTCCTCTGTGACCTAAGTACAGGGGTCCAGGCAGCATTTTAAGAGTACCCTGGGAAGAAAAGCTATCAGGGTGTAAAAAAATTTTCCTTTTTGTCCCAAACCACTTATCCCATAACATTCTATTTGTATTTTTTTTCCCTTCAGGATCCAGTATTGCCCAGAAAGTAACTCAAAGCCAACCAGCAATGTTAGTGCAGGAGAAGGAGGCTGTGACCCTGGACTGCACATATGACACCAGTGATACGACTTATAGTCTCTTCTGGTACAAGCAGCTTAGCAGTGGGGCAATGATTTTCCTTCTTCGTCAGGACTCCTACAACCAGCAAAATGCCAGAGAAGGTCGCTACTCATTGAATTTTCAGAAAGCAAAGAGTTCCATCAACCTTGTCGTCTCAGCCTCACAGCTGGAGGACTCTGCAGTGTATTTCTGTGCCCTGAGGGAGCCCACAGTGAGAGGCGTGTTGGGAGGAGGTGTACCAAAACCCCAGAGCTCTGCTTTATGCATCCACCTGCTGTAGGGACCAAGGCTGGGAATTGTCATCACAGACAGGAAGTGGCCAGGCCTGTGGCAGCACAGATGTAGGTAGGCTTAGAGGGAAAACACTATGAAAATACTTCTCCAGGTTCATAAACCATGTTTAGAGCTATCATTCATAAAAAATATGCATATTTTTAAAAATTTGGGTNCATTCATAAAAATATTCATATCCTTAAAAATTTGGGTTGAAAATGTGTATTGAAGACAAAGAACAACCACAATAAACAACTTGCCGCTTTGTGATAGATTGAGCTAGAAGAATTGACTAAAGAAATTCACAAACATCTGATTCAGAAGAAAATAAAAAATATGTATGAAATGTTGTATTTTCAGGTCAATTTGTTCAGTAAAATATTTGTTGTGTATATGTTATATAGGGGGGGGACAATTCTCTTTTACCCTCTTCAGGTCACTGTCTAGACCTAAGAATTAAACTGCCATAAGGCAGAGTAACAGGAGAAAAGTTTATAAATTTTATTAAATTTTTGCTTGAACATGGGAGCCCTCACAAGAAAATGAAGATCTGAAGGCTTAACCAGGGTAGGAAGCTTTTAAACCTTTAGATATAGAAACAATAAATTCATGTGCAATTGACAAGACCAATAAGTGTGAGCTAGTGGAAGTCCAACTAAGGCTCAGTAGTCCTTATGTTTCTTAACTAGGAAGATGAAGTTTAGTTTAACAAAGTTTATAGATTCCTCTGGTGTATCTCTGGGCTGTTGTGTCTCTCTCCAATAAAAGGAGAATTTATTTCCTGAGTTTAGGCAGAAAAGGGAGATCATTTTTTTTTGTTTTCTGTTTCTTTTTTTTCATGTCTCTTTAAAAATTTTTTTCAATTAAAGTTGACATTCAATATCATTTTATATTAGTTTACGTATACATCATAGTGGTTAGACAATCATATCCTTTACAAAGTGATTCCCCTGATGTTTCAAATACCCATCTGACACCATACATAGTTATTGCAACATTTTTGACTATATTCCCTATGCTATACTTTACATCCTCATGACTATTTTGTAACCACCAATTTGTATTTTTTAATACCTTCACCTTTTCTCCCCAGCTCTTCAACTCCCCTACTACCTGGCAATCCTCAGTTTGTTCTCTATATCTATGAGTCTGTTTTTGTTTTGTTTATTTTGTTCTTTAGATTCCACATATAAATGAAATCATATGGTATTGTCTTTTTCTCTTTGACTTATTACACTTAACATAATACCCTCTAGGTTCATCCATGTTGTTGCAAATGGTAAGATTTTATACTATTTTTATGGGGGAGTAATATTCCATTGTATATATGTATGACCTCTTTTTTAACCACTTGTCTATCGATGGACACTTAGGTTGCTTCTATGTTTTTGCTGTTGTAAATAATGCTACAATGAACATAGGGATACATATACTTTTCAAATTAGTGTTTTGAGTTTCTTCAAATAAATATCCAGAAGTGAAATTGTTGGGGCATAAAGTAGTTCAATTTTAAATTTTTTTGAGGAAACTCTATACTGTTTTCCATAGTGGCTGCACCAATTTGTAGTCCCATCAATGCATGAGGGTTCCCTTTTCTCTACATCCTTGCCAACACCTGTTGTTTGTGGATTTATTGATGATAGTCATTCTGACAGATGTGAGGTGATAGCTCATTGTGGTTTTATTTTGCATTTCTCTGATGATTAGTGATGTTGAGCATCATTTCACATGTCTATTGGCCATCTGCATGTCTCTTTGGAGAAATGTCTATTCAGGTCCTCTATCTATTTTTAAATTGGATANATTTCACATGTCTGTTGGCCATCTGCATGTCTCTTTGGAGAAATGTCTATTCAGGTCCTCTATCTATTTTTAAATTGGATAGTTTGGGGGTTTTGGTGTTGATTAATATGAGTGCTTTATGAATTTTGAATATTAACACCCTATTAAGTGGTGATTATCTTCTCCCAATCACTTGGTTGTCATTTCATCTGGTTGATGATTTCCTTTGTTGTGAAAAAGTTTTTAGTTTGATGTAGTCCCCCTTTTTGATTTGTTTCCTTTGCTTGAGAAGATATATCAGAAAAAATATTACTAAGAGCAATGTCAGAGAGTTTTCTGCCTATGTTTTTTTTAGGAGTGTTATGGTTTTGGGTTTTACATTTAAGTCTGAGCTTATTCGTGTATATGGTATAAGAAGGTGGTTTAGTTACATTTTTTTGCATGTATGTGTTCAATTTTCCCAACACCACTTATTGAATAGACTGTCTTTATCCCATTGTATATTCTTGTCTCCTTTGTCATAGGTTAATTAACCATTTATGCATGGGTTTATTTCTGGGCTCTCTATTCTGTTCCATTGTCCTATGTCTGTTTTTATACTAGTACCATGCCTTTTTGATTACTATAGTCTTGTAGTATAGTTTGATACCATGTAGTGTGATACCCCCAACTTTCTTCTTTTTTCTCCAGATTGCTGTGACTATTTGAGTTCTTTAGTGGTTTTTTATAAATTTTAGGATACTTTGCTCTAGTTCTTTGAAAAATGCCATTGCTATTTTGATAGGGATTGCATTGAATCTGAAGATTGCTTTGGGTAGTAGGGGCATTTTAACAATGTTAATTCTTTCTATCACTGAGCACAGTATATGCTATCATTTAATTTCTTATAATTTTTTGAGTATAGGTCTTTTACCTCCTTGGTTAAATTTATTACTAGATATTTTATTTACTTTTTGATGTAATTGTAAATGGAATGGTTTTCTTAGTTTCCCTTTCTGATAGCTCGTGTTTGTTGTATAAAAATGCAACAGATTTCTGAGTATTAATTGTGTATCCTGCTACTTTACTGAACTCATTTACAGTTCTAATAGATTTTTAGTGGAACTTTTAGGGTTCTCTATATATAGTACCATGTCATCTGCAAATAATGACAGTTTTACTTCTTTCTTTACAATTTGGATACCTGTGATTTCTTTTTCTCATCTGATTGCTGTGAATAGGACTTCTAATACTATGTTGAATAAGAGTGGTGAAAGTGGACATCCCCGTCTTGCTCCTGTTCTTATGGGAAACAATGATAGCTTTTTCTGGTTAAGCATGATGTTAGCTAGGGGTTTGTCATATACAGCCTTTATTATGTTGAAGTATGTTTCCTCTATTCCCATTTTGTTGAGAGTTTTTATCATAAATGGGTACTGGATTTTGTTAAATGCTTTTTTCTGCATCTATTGATGTAATCATATAATTTTATGCTTTATTTTGTTTATGTGGTGTATCATATTAATTGATTTGTGGATATTGAACCAACCAGGAAGAAATACCACTCGAGCATGTTATATGATCTTTTTAATGTATTGCTGAATTCAATTTGCTAATATTTTGTTGAGGATTTAAAAAAAAATCCTCATCCAAGGGTATATTTATTTATTTTAGAGAGAAGGAGGGAGGAAAGGAGAGAGACAGAAAGAGAGAGAGAGAAACATTGATGTGAGAGAGAAGCATTGAGCCCCAACCAGGGACTAAACCTGCAATTTAGGTATGTGCTCTGACCAGACTCGAACCTGCGACCTTTCAGTTTATGGAATGGCACTCCAACCAAGTGAGTCATACTGGCCAGGGCTTGTGGAAGATTTTTACATCTATATTTATCAGGGATATTGGCCTATAATTTAATTTTCTTGTAATATTTTTGTCTCATTTTGGAATCAGGGTAATGTTGGCCTCATAAAATGAGCTTGGGAGTGTTCCTTCTTGAATTTTTTGAAATAGTTTGAAAAGGATAAGTGTCAATTCTTTGAATGTTTGGAAAAATTTACCTGTGAAGTCAGCTGGTCCAGGAATTTTGTTTGTTGGAAGTTTTTGATTACTAATTAGATTTTCAAAATTTTTTTTTGTAGTTATCGATCCATTTATATTTTGTGTTTCTTCTTAGGTCTTGGAAAATTGTATGTTTCTAGACATTTATCCATTTCTTCCAGTTTGTCCAATTTGTTGGCATAAAATTGTTTGTAGTAATTTCTTATAATTTTTTGTTTTACTGTGGTGTCAGTTGTCGACTGTCTTCTTTCTTTTGTGATTTTATTTGTTTGGGTGCTCTTTTTTTTCTCTTTACGACTCTGGTTTAAGGTTTATCATTTTTTATTATTTTATTTTATTTTATTTTATTTTATTTTAATATATCTTTATTGATTTCAGAGAGAGGAAAGGAGAGGGAGAGAGAGAGACAGAAACATCAATGATGAGAGAGTCATTGATCAAGACCACAACCTGGGCATGTACCCTGACCGGGAATCAAACCCCGATCGCCTGGATCCTAGGTAGACGCTCAACTGCTGAGCCATGCCCGGCCAGGCAAGGTTTATCATTTTTTAAAAGTCTTTTCAAAGAACCAGTTCATGGTTTCATTGATCTTTTTGTCTTGTCTTTTAAGTTTGTTTTCTTTATTTCCACTGTAATTTGTAAAAAAAAAATTCCATTCTTCCACTACCTTTGTGCTTTGTTGGTTGTTTTTCTATTTCTTTTATGTGTGAGTTTAGATTGTTTATTTGAGATTTTTCTTGTTTCTTGAAGTATTGCTGAACGCCTGTATTGCTATGAATTTTCCTCTTAGGACTGCTTTTGGTATGTCCCATAGGTTTGGGGTCATTGTGTGTTCATTTTTATTTGTCTTAAGGTATCTCTTGATTTTTTTTCTTATCTCACTGTTAACCCACTTATTATTTTATAGCATGTTATTTAGTCTCCATGTATTAGTGTGTTTTTCAGTGTTGTTTTTTTTTTCTTTCTAGTAATTGATTTCTAGTTTCATATTATTGTGGTTAGAGAATATGCTTGATATAATTTCAATCTTTATAAACTTGTTAAGACTTGTTTTGTGTCCTAACATGTGGTCTATCCTGGAAAATGTTCTATGAGGACTTGTGGAGAATGTATACTCTGCTGCTTTGGGGTGAAATGCTCTGAAAATATTAATTAAATCTGTCTGGTCTAATGTGCCATTTAGGACCTCTGTTTCCTTGTTGATTTTCAGTCTGGAAGATCTGGATATATCTGCCTATCATTTTCCTTTTCATCCAACCCAGAGGTTTCCCTGCTTTGCTTTCTCCCACTCCACTAATCTATCACCAATGGATTTCATGTAACTCACTTGCATAAGCTCTTTTTTAAAAAAAATTCATCTTTATTGTTGATCCCCATTGATCCCCTCCACCCCTCATCTGCCCCCCAGACACTATTGTTTGTATCCAGAAGTTATGCATATATGCATATAAGATCTTTGATTAATTTCTCCCCACCCCTCCCACACCCCTGCCTTCCCTCTGAGATTCATCAGTCTGTTCCATACTTCTGTGGCTGCATCTGCTCTTTTGATTGTAATGTATAAAATAAGGTGCAAAACTGACATTCTCTGGAGCATTATCGCAATCCGTTGAAATTTGGCTTCCCAGAAATTGTTGACAATTTGGTTCAAATAAACTCACAAACATTCTCTATAGGTTTGAATGTTTCTTACGTTGACTGTTATGAGCTGGCCCTAGGGTGAGACAGCCCTTGGATGAGACACCTCTCTGGCTAGACAGCTCTGCTCTGCTCCAGTCCCATACACTCTGCTCTGCTCTGCTGTGACCTGGTCCTATGAAACATCTTAGGTGTTACAGCTCCTGTTGAGTCAACTCAGTTTTCAGTCTTCTATTGGAATGGAGAGTGCACTCTTCCAGCCAAAGTGGGGCTGACTTATATGGAGAGAAATTCCCATCCTTGGTCCCTAATTGATCCATCCTCATGTAAATGAGAACTCCAAACCTTCACAGTTTGGTCCAAAAACCACTGTCCTGGTTGATCAGTATGGAGGCACTATCATTGGTTGGTGAAGATGCTAATGGAGACATAGTTGTGCAGGCCTGATTGGGTGGGGAAAGTCTCAGTCTTATTGATTGAAATACAATTCCAGGAACTCCTTTATAAGGGCTGGCTCATATGACAAGGACAGAGTGCAGACAGGCACTGTGGGCTGGCAGTTTAGTGCGGCTTCTCTTTGAAGCATGGCTTGTGTGAGAGGCCCCTGTTTAGAAATGGCTGCTAGGCTCTGTTTTTAAAATTTGAGCCACAAGGAACCCTTCTTGGTATGTATCTTCTTTCTCAGGGTCCACATATACTATAGAGACATATTAGCATTAACTTTTACCTCAGTGCACAACTCTAGTAAAGAAAAGTATCCAACACTTAATCTCAGGTTATTTGGCTCCAGTTGATACATTTTCAATGAACAATAAAAATTAAACTCAATAACTTTACCCATACAATGTAAGAAGTTAAATAAACAATCAAATAAAATTTAAAAATGAAGATTAAAGGAATCAAAGATGAGAGGGGAAATTGGTCAAAGGAAAATAAAATCAACAATGAAAGCACAATCTATTTTGAAAAGGTTTATGCAGAAAAAATTAGGAGGGACAAATACATGCACAAAAAAAGAAATATAGCATGTTTAAGTTGACTTTATTTCTGGACTATAAGAATTATTTCAATTCTTGAAGGTCTATAAATGTAATTGTTAATATTAAATCTTAAAAGACTCAAAAATATTCTCAAACCTGGTTTGATGGATTTGATCTAGAATGTTTTTTTTTAGATCTAAGACAATTCATTGTACAGATTCACTACATGTGTATTTGTGCAAGCTTATTTGATTTTGGCAGCTTTTGCAAATTTTGAATTCTTTCTCTTAATTTGACTAAAATTATAGATATGGTGCATGTTCCTTTTCTTTGCTCTCTTTGTTGTATTTAGATTATTTCTGTTAGGATAAGGGGAAATGATGAGCTTATTCAACCATATTTTTATGGTTATAAAAAGAGAGCTAAGGATGTGTTTGCTTTTGCTGCTGCAACTTCATAGAAAAAAAAACTAAAAAATTTGTTTAGTCAGAGAGACATTTTCCCATGCTGATCCCAGAACTTTCTCTCTGATCTTCAAGAACTCTCTTGGTGTAGGACAGTTACCACAGATGAAATCTTGTAAATTGGTATCAGGCTGGCTGCAACAAAACCGCCTGGAGGAGTTCTTAAAAATTACAAATTAGTGGGTATCAATCTTGGAAAATATGATTCATAAAATTAGTGGTAAGATCCCAGAATTTGTCATTTTAAATTACTCACATATTAATTCTACTATCAGCTATTGTATGAATATCAGCTGGTATGTTTAACAATTAGAAATATTGGTAATGAAGAGAGTCCTAATTTATGTTCTAGGCTCTTGATGCAAATCCACATCTTCAGGGTTTCATACCTTGTGGGGAAAATTATTTGATTAAGCTTCAGCAACAAAGTGTTGAAGATAAACAGTGGAAAGCACACTTGAAGCTAGATCTCCATTAGGAGTAAAGGATTAGTACTTGTTGCTACTTTATGTCAGAGTCAGTGCAATAGTGGGACAATAAGATACTGATCTCGGTTTATTTTATAGAAAGTCAGTAACTTCAATGATAGTATTTTTTCCTGTCTAGGATTCACATTTTCCCTTTTCAATAATTCTGAAATTCAGGAATATTTGACTATTGATAAGATAGTGTGACTTTTCTTTTAAAGAGCTTTTATTAAAAAGATAGCACTGTTACAATTGATATAATTTAGGATTGAAGAAATATTGTGTTTCAATATAGTAGTAATTCCCCAATCAAAGACTGTTTATTATTTTTGTTTAACAAATTTTTAGTGAGCAAATAATAAATGTCAGTTGCTGTTCTTTATGCTGGGTTACAGTGTTGAAAAACACAGAACCATTTAATGATGACTCTACTTCTTAACCCTTCCCCTCATTTCAACCCCAAACTCTTTTTGGACATTCATGGATTATAGGTTGCCCCACAGTGGGCACATAAGAATATAAAGAATTGTATAAAGGATTGCATTAAAATGATCAAAATGTTACCTTCACAGCTACAGAAATACCCCGGTTTGTTAAAGAATCTCCACGTCAGGTGGTGGCCTAAGAAAAAAATAAACCTTCAAGGTTATGGCAGCTGTTGTTCAGATTTACAAAGCACATGTGAAAACTGATGTGTGCTTGGTAAATAAAGTCAGAGATGAGAACATATTGAGGACTTTGTAAGGAGCCTAAGAATCATGCATCCCATTTCAGTCCTTGCCCACCAGGGGGTGCAGCTTCCCAACACAAACGCAAACATTTCCTGTGTGAAATGCAGGCTTCAATTTATCATTTCACTGTGACTTCAATATTTCTTCATGTTAAGAATCAAGAACATTGTTTAGGTGACACTGTAGAGATGAACTCTTCTCCGGGCTTAGTGACTGTGTTACTCTTAGTGCTTGGTAAGTAACATGCCTCTTAAAATATGAATTCTTTCTTCTATTATGTCAGCAAAATCTTTAACCTCAATTTTAAGAGCTTAATGCCAAAGATGAGGAGACACAGATCTCTTTTCTTTTCCCCCAGAACGAACCCATGGAGACTCAGTGACCCAGATGGAAGACCCTGTGACCCTCTCAGAAGGGGATTCCCTGACTGTGAAATGTTCCTATGAAACCATACAGTATCCTGCTCTTTTCTGGTATGTTCAGTATCCTGGAGAAGGTCTACAGCTCCTCCTGAAAGCCATGAAGGCCAACGAGAAGGGAAGCAACAAAGGTTTTGAAGCCACATACAGCAAACAACCAAATACCTTCCACTTGGAGAAAGCCTCCGTCCAGGCGTCAGACTCGGCAATGTACTACTGTGCACTGAGTGACACAGTGACAGAAACTGCAGGGGGAGCTGAGCACAAACTCTGAGCAAAGCAAGGGGCCTGGCTGCTGAGTGTCTATGACTGATCTATTATGGTGGATTTTATTATTTAACATCAAACACATAGCACATTTAATACAAATTTTTAATCCTTTAATCACATTGAGTTGTTAGGATAAAAAGACCTCCATATATCATACTTATGCGGTTTTCTCAGACAAAGGAATATTTTTATTTACTAAATAATGCACTAAAACATGAATATTAAGATAAGTTGTCAAAATATTTGATATTTTATATGCATTAGTATGACTCCACATTTCTTTTTGACATATTTCATATAATAGGATACAAAAACTGACCCTTCTAGTAAATAAATATGAAGTTTATAAAGACAGTTAATGCCTCCTTTGATTCTACTTACTTGTGTACAGAATAATTATATATACAATTTTGATGATAAGGGTTTTCAATCTTCTTTTAATGTGTTTTTAGAGGATCTCTAAATATGCTTTTATAAATAGTTTGTAAAAGATTCCAAGTTGTAAAAGAATGAAGGTTGATAGAAATGTAAAAGATGTTGTTAACACTTGGCTTCTTTATTCTCTGCTGTATCAAGGTATAGAATTTCCTTAATTTTTGTATCATCTTTTTCTGTAAATCTTAATTTCTACTTGGTGTTTCATCCCTGTCTGTTTTTTTTTCTCTTTTCTATCTGATGATTAGTTTAAGTATACTTTTATCATTCAATTACAGTTGAAATTCAATATTATATTAGTGTCAGGTGTATAGCACAGTGGATAAACATTTATATAACAAAGAAAGTGATCTCTCCAATAAGTCCAATACCCACCTGGCACTATACATAATTATTCCAATATATTGACTATATTCTTTAAGCTGTACTTAATCCCTTCACTTTTTTAACCCATCCCCCCAACCACCATCCCATTTGGCAGCTATCAGTTTGTTCTCTGTATCTATGAGTTGGCTTGTTTTTATGTTTGTTCGTTTACTTTGTTTTTTAGATTCCACATATAACTGAAATCATATGTATTTGTCTTGCTGTCTGACTTAGCATAATATTCTCTAGGTGCACACATGTTGAATATTAAGTTTTTGAATTTTTGCCCTTTTCCTTAGACCTCAGCTATGTAGGAGGTAACTTAGTTCACTAACCTGGTGTCCTCCTGGAGTCCCCTTTGTCTCTTCAGCAGAATGGACCTTCCTTTGGGATGTTTCTTTGGTGGGTGTGGTGGGTGAGGAAGGGGCTCCAGCCTCTGCACAAAGGGGAAGAATCCTACCTTATCTTCTCAGCATTCTTGGTTATTTTCTTTTAGGTCTGTCTCTTAAGCAATATGCAGCAATATTTTTTTAAATTTCAATTCAATCAAATAATCTCTTTTTACATATTTTTGATTACTGAGATAATTGGACTCATTTCTAGTATTTTGGTTTTGCATTACATGCTCTTCTTTTTTTCTTCTCTCTTTTAGTCTGTCTGCTGTTGCATTGATTACATATTCTTTTTCCTTCCTGCTGATTTAGAAAACGTAAAGTGTCTCTATTCTTAGACAAGCATCCTTAAATTATGTGTGTTGTATTTCTATAATATTTCCCCCCTACTATATTTCACTTCCTGTCCTTGGGTTACTTTTTCTCTTGCTGATTTGCTATCTTTAGAATGACCCCAGTGGTTGGTTGAACAAATTACAAATCAGCTATATATCAGTACAGTAATATCAGAGAGTTTCTCAAATCAGCTCATAAACTACAGTTCCAAGGCAATTAAGAAGAATAAGATAGAAAACCATCCGACACAATGATCAGAACAATATTCACTCCATTCTCCCCAGAACCTGTGCCCCCAATCTTCCCTCTGCCTGGAGTGATTTTCACCAACTATCCTCAGGGCTCGTTCCTTCAGTTCTTCCTGGTCTCTGCTCCTGGAGAAACTTGTGCACATGTGAATAAAGATGAATGTTCAAAAAGGTTATTGGAGTGTTGTATTTCATAGATTAAAGAAATCAACATCCTAACTGTTTGCCAATATGGGAAGGGCTGTATACACAGTAGTATATCCATCACATGGGATATAATGCAGAAGAAGGACCTATGTGCATTAACACAAATCCACAAGATTTATTATAGAGTTACTAAAACAAGCCATAGAATGGTATGCACAATATGTATGATTTTGTATTAAATAGAAGATGTAAATAAAATACTGTATTATATCTTTTCTCTTGAATCATAGATTTGGTATATGTTTGTAAATCTATAATAAAACATAGATTTACAAAACATGAAGAAAGAATTAGGGCAATAAATGATGGGAGAGTGAGAATTGGGAGTGGTTTCAAAGGAAATTTTAGTTTATATGTAATGGCCCAGTTCAGGCCTCAGCCGTCCAGGGGTCCCCAAAGGTGTGGGTGGCCTCAGCGAAGAATGAAGGACACGGAGACAGCGTTCAGAGCACCAAGACAATCAGCTTCTTTTTTATTGCCTTGTCACAACTGTATTTATACTATTTGATTTTATTGCTGGTTAAACAACATGACATCATGCTTTGTTCTGGTTTCGGTTTTGGCCTTTCACAGTTAATGAATATACCTTCTTATCTGACCTTTGCTAAAGAATTTACATCTGCTTAGGTGTGTTAATTTTAGTCTCACCTATTGTTTATATTTCTATAGGCTATTCTACAGGTTAATCTCTACTTTGTTATTTATATTCTGAAGTTACTATTTTATTGCTCTACCACAGAGCTAAAAGGAGAATAACTCAGCCAGCTTTTCTTATGTGAAGGTGCTGTGAGTCCTAAGTGAGGGCTCTGGAGCTTGCGCGTGATTGTCTTTAGCTGTGGTGACTGCCCGCCTGTCTGGCACCTGCCTCAGTCTCCCCGCTGACATTCCCNGAGTCCTAAGTGAGGGCTCTGGAGCTTGTGGGTGATTGTCTTTAGCTGTGGTGACTGCCCGCCTGTCTGGCACCTGCCTCAGTCTCCCCGCTGACATTCCCCACAGCAGCCAGTCCTCAGTGTGATGTCCTGTGTATGATAAGGGCTCAGGTGCAGACTGAAATACTCTCTTTCCTAGACCGCTCTTTCCTTGGGGGGATTCCCAGAGTTTTCCATTAATATGAACATCCCCCAGTAATACATTCCTTAGTGGGGACTCACTGTGGCCTCCCTGTGGATGGCCCTGTGCCGGGGAGTCTGCAGGAGCTCGGACCCAGGCCTCTTCCCATGGTAATGGGCCTAACAAGTCCTAACTCTTCTGCTGACAGTCTGAGTTTCTCATAAGCGGCACATGATTTTCCCAGACTCCTTGGGGCTTATACTGAATCATTGTCTTTTCCAGTCCCATCCGACTCCCCTGCTAGGGAAAAGTTTCCAGTNCCAGTCCCATCCGACTCCCCTGCTAGGGAAAAGCTTCCAGCCAGGGCGATGCCCTTTTCTGGTGCAGTGACTCGGGTAAGGACACAGAGCGTCAGGGAGGGGAACAAGCATGGGAAGAGGGATCTGCCATCCGCCAAGCCCCATGGAGCCCTGGCTGTGCAGAGGTCTCCTCCTTGAAGGACTGTGTCAAGCAGCAAGGANCTGTGCAGAGGTCTCCTCCTTGAAGGACTGTGTCAAGCAGATAGGATGGAACAGCTTCTGGCATCTAATAATTTATTACTTTTAATTATTTACATCTTCATGAATTCTTCCTATTGTTAAAATTAATTACTAATTTTTTAATTAATAAAAAATTATAAAGGGTTATCTATATTCTCTATTTTTCTCACCAAGAAGGGGGGAAAGGAGGAAATGACACCTTTTTCATATGATTTTGTTCAACCACTCCAAGTATAAGTAGTATTTCTTCCTCTGGGATCACATAGTTTTTTGTTTTCAGTCCTCTTATGGTTCTACTTTTTGACCGAATTATAGTTATGCATATCTTTGTCTCCCCCAGTAGACAAATTGGTATGTTATCTTCTTTTACATAGTCTTAAGATCTAGTAAATCACTCCAACTATACTAAAACTTTAATAAATACTTATACGTTTATTTTAAGATCAAGTAAATAGCTCAAGATGAGATTTACTAAACAATTTAAGATAATAATTTTCATCAAATGATATTTTAAAAGTAAGATTTCTTTCATTTGTACTCACCATTCAGTCTAGGCAGTTAATTTGCTTTCTGACCACCTGCATTTCCTTCACCAAGAAACATGGAGTGAACGGGCCTGGGGTTGTGTGACTGCTGAATTAACTGGTTTGAAGTCCTAATTTTTAGAGAATGAGAGGAAGGAGGAAGGGAGAGGGATAGAGAGGTAGAAAGATCGATGACAGAGAAACTCGATAAGCTACCTCTTGCACAGCCCTACTGGGGATGAAACCTGCAACCAGAGCATGTGCTCTGATGGAGAATTGAACTGGTGACCTCTTGGTTCATGGGTCTACGCTCAACCACTGAGCACAACGGCTGGGCCTAAAGTCCTCTTTATTGATAGTTTCACTCCACTAGGGGGCACTGTAGGCTTTACAAGAAATGGCTTTTTTTGATGGTCTCAGAAAATTGAACAGTTAAGATAGGAAAGAGCAGTGGGCACATGTGAGTCAGTCAAATTATTCAGGAAAGATGAGGACAGGAGTAACAGTGTTTGTGTAATGTTCATCTCAGTTTTTCACCTCTGCCACTCTATGTAAACCTCAGAAAGCTAAAGTGCAGAAGCTATAAATCCATTGTGAATGATTCTCTAAGCAGAGGTACAGGAGTAAGAATATTACTGGTCATTGTGAACATGGAAGCTCAAAAGTAAACATCTCCATAACCTATTTCAGTTTTTTAACTGTTATGACTAAAATCCGCTAAGCTCAATGATCTAGAAATTATTTCAATTCCCTAGATATTCCACTATTTTATATATGTGTTTGAAAGAAGAAACAAAAATAAAGAGAAACAGAAGAAAACAAAGAACAAAAATAGTAAGAAACAGAAAGGACAATATTTAATTTGACCAGTAAAGAGTGGCTGGATCAGAATCAGCTATGTGGGTCA